TGGAATTTTTTTTCTTATGCCCAGGCCCTAGCATGGCAGCTGGCTGAGAATCTTGGCTCACTCAACTCCACCCCTCTGGGTTCAAGCAATTCTCGCCGCCTCAAGCTTTCTCCGACGTAGCGCGGATTACAAGGCACCGCCACATGCCCGGCTAATTTTGTGCGGTGTTTTAGTAGAGACGGGGTTTTTCACCATCTTGGCCCAGGGACCTGGTCTTGAACTCCTGAACTCTGAATCCCACCTTCCGGTCCTCCCAAAAAGTTGCTGGGATACAGCCATGAGCCACCTGCACCTGGCTCATTTTTTTAATTCCTTTTTTTTTTTTTTATTTTTTTTTTGAGACGGCAGTCTCGCTCTGTCGCCCAGGCTGGAAGTGCAGTGGCCCCAGATCTCAAGCTCACCCTGCAAGCCTCCGCCCTCCCGTTCACGCAAATTCTCTGCTCAAGCCTCCCCGAAGTAGCCCTGGGACTAACAGGCGCCAGCCACCTCGCCGGCTAGTTTTTTGTATTCTTTAGTAGAAGACGGGGTTTCCACCGTGTTAGCCAGGATGGTCTCGATCTCCTGACCTTGTGATCCGCCCGTCTCGGCCTCCCAAAGTGCTGGGATTACAGGCTTGAGCCACCGCACCCGGCCTCATTTTTTTAAATTCTTAAGAGAAAGCTCAGCCCTGCCTGAGCTGATTGCCAGATTCTTAGAAGTTACACACAAAGAAACTCCAGATTCATCACATAAACCGCAATTTTGTGTTTTCGGTGCTCAGATATAGAACCTTCCCATCCTTTTTCCCTTGTGTGAAACTTGTGTCCTCAGTCACCGCAGAAATAGGTTATGACAGTTGCCTTTTAAGCAAAGAGATGTAAGTCTTGGTTCTGTTTCTCAGAGAATTAAATAAACTTGAAATGTGCAGGGCTCATTGTGGAATCACCCGAGTGCTCCGAAACTCCCCGAAATCTGCCATCAACACCAGACAGACAGGCGCGACTCCTGGTAAGCCGGGCATTCCACCATGTGCCTGTTCTGTTTTACCTGCAGGGTAAGGAAAAAGTACTGGAAGATTGTCAGCTGCAGAAGGTCGATCTGATAGCTCAGGTGAAACAACTTCAGGAAAAATTGAACCGTTTGCTGTATTCCATGACCTTCCAGAATGTGGATGCTGCCGATGCCAAATCTCCATGGCCCTTGGCCTCGGCACACCTGTTGGAGAACAGCTGGAGTGATGGTTCCTGTGACGGCGAAGAGCCTGACACATCAGCCCCCACAGATGCGTGTGTTGCCAGTGCAGCCACGGGGGGTGTAACTGATGTTATCAAAAATCGGGATTCCTTGATACCAGATGAAATGCCAGATTCTCCCATTCAAGAAAAGTCAGAATGTCAGGACAGGTCCCTTTCTTCACCAACCAGCATGCTTGGCGGCTCCTGCCGCCAGAGCCACGCCGCGGAGGCTGGGCCCCGGAAGAGCCCGGTGGGGGTGCTGGACCTGTCTTCCTGGAGCTCCCCTGAGGTCCTCAGGAAAGACTGGACCCTGGAGCCCCGGCCCAGCCTCCCTGTGACACCCCACTCAGGAGCCCTGAGCCTGTGCAGTGCCGACACATCCCTGCGGGACAGGGCGGACACCTCACTACCACAGCCCCAGGGGCCGGGCCTGCTTTGTTCCCCAGGTGTGTCCGCAGCAGCGCTGGCCCTGCAGTGGGCTGAGTCTCCGCCGGCTGATGACCACCGTGTGCAGAGGACGGCTGTGGTAGGTGCCTGCCCTGCTCCTAGACCTGCTGTTCCCGTGGGAATGTGGCCTGCCCGGCGCCACGGCAGCTGCCATTGTTTGTTCACCTCCTGACAGCGCACACCTCGCAGTCCTGTGTGGGGCCAGCTCTGCAGGACTGGCATCATGGGAGCGTTTAGATTATTTCAGTTGTTCAGGTATTTTTAAAATGCCTGAGATGCATTTGCCCGCCTCAGACGTACCCTGGGCATGCTTCTCCACTGACACGGACACCAACAGGCACAGCCGCAGACACGTCTTCGTGTGTGATGGGCATAGGGTTCTTTTTCCAGAATGGTGTTTTAGATTTATTTTTAGGAATGCTGCTTATTTTTTTTTTATTTTATTTTTTTTGTGAGACGGAGTCTTGCTCTGTCACCCAGGCTGGAGTGCAGTGGTGCGATCTCGGCTCACTACAACCTCCGCCTCCCCAGGTTCAAGCAATTCTCCTGCCTCAGCCTCCCGAGTAGCTGGGACTACAGGCGCCGCCACCATGCCCGGCTAATTTTTATAGTCTTAGTTAGAGATGGGGTTTCACGGTGTTGGCCAGGCTGGTCTCAAACTCCTGACCTCATGATCCACCTGCCTTGGCCTCCCAAAGTGCTTACAGGCTTGAGCCACCATGCCCAGCCGGAAATGCTTCATATTTTTACAGGTTTCACATATACTAATTAATTTTAATAATTTATGAGTTAGAGCATATTATTTCTAACATAATCATTTTGGGATTTTGTGTATCTTGAGTAACATAAAATTAAAAATCAGTTACGGTTGGGCTCACACTTGTAGTCCCAGCACTTTGGGAGGCTGAGGCGGGAGGATTGCTTGAGCCCAGGAATTTGAGACCAGGCTGGGTAACACGGTGAGACCCCATCTCTACAAAACACTCACAGTCAGCTGGCTGCGATCGTGCTGCCTATGGTCCCAGCTCCTCAGGAGGTTGAGGCAGGAGGATCACTTGACCTCGGGAGGTTGAGGATGCAGTGAGCCGAGATGGACCCACTACACTCCAGCCTGGGTGACAGAGTAAGATCCTCCCTCAAAAAATAGTAATTTAGCAGATACATATTCTCTGAAAAATCCATATACTATCATTTCATGTAAAACAATTGAAATCTGAAATAGTTGCTGTTGGCTACATTAAAATATTCCTAAAGAGCTGTGCGTGAATCTGATGAAATTGTTGGAAGCATTGTTGGAATAAACAATGCTTTTTTTTTTTTTTTTTTTGAGACGGAGTCTCGCTCTGTCGCCCAGGCTGGAGTGCAGTGGCCAGATCTCAGCTCACTGCAAGCTCCGCCTCCCGGGTTCCCGCCATTCTCCTGCCTCAGCCTCCCGAGTAGCTGGGACCACAGGCGCCGCCACCTCGCCCGGCTAATTTTTTGTGTTTTTAGTAGAGACGGGGTTTCGCCGTGTTAGCCAGGATGGTCTCGATCTCCTGACCTTGTGATCCGCCCGTCTCGGCCTCCCAAAGTGCTGGGATTACAGGCTTGAGCCACCGCGCCCGGCCAACAGTGCTTTTTTAAAAAAAATAAATTGTTGGAATCTGATTAAATTGTTGGAACACCTGCATGTGTTCACCAGTTTTGAGTTGTTTCATTTGGGGTCTATGTGGGAAGATAAATTCAGGCCTTTGGAATTTTTCACCTGGCAGAGTCAGCTCTATGATGTAATTACTCAATATTTATGACCATTTAAAAATCTCTGTATCTGAACAGGAGAAAGATGTCGAAGATTTTATCACAACATCTCTTGATTCTCAAGAAACATTAAGTTCACCTCCTCCTGGATTAGAAGGGAAAACTGATGGAAGTGAGAAAAGTGAGTTGGTTATCTTTCTTTTTTCATTTTTTGTTTCAGTGGTTTCCTATCAGAAAATAGTCAAAGAATTCCTGCATCCTTCACCCGGTTCTGCGTCTGCCCCTCACTGACCTCCACCCCGGCTCTGCGCTTTGTCAGGCGTGCACCTGGGGCCTCTTGACTCTGAAAACACCTGTACCTTTCACACAGCCAAGGTTGCCAGCCCAGGTCACACTCCACCCTGGAATGTTCGCCCTGATCCAAGGCTGGCGTCTCAGCTACAGCTGCAGACCTTGCTCAGATTTCGCCGACTGTCCCAGTAGCGTCCTTGATGGAAAAGACACCCCAGCTCACAGGCTATGTTCAGGTGTCTTTGGCAGGATGGAGACTGGGGCGGCGCGCCCCATATTTCCAGGCTCTGCTGCCTTGCCTGCCCACCCTGCCCTTCCCTCCCCTTGGGGTGGTCATCCCTCTCTGTGCCGTGGGTTTCGGGGCGCCGGCCCTGGAGAGGAGCCAAGGGGCTGCTGACTGTGTGGTGTGTCCTCACGGTGGCGTGTAGGGGGCTGCGTCTCCCCGGGCCTCATGGCGGGAGGTGTGTGGGCTTGACTTGGGCCTTTGTCTGTGGTGGTGCCTGCCAGGTTTCTTCCTCCTCCTCCTGTGGGAGATGTGGAGACTGAGTATTCTCTTCCCTCTCATGCTCACGCCCACTGGTCTCAGCCTCCTCCCTTGGTTGCCCTGGCTGGATCAGTTGTGGTGGCAGTTACCTGCCACACCGTAATTTTTTTAATTTCATAACTTTTCCTACAATTGTTGTCTTTTCAGAAGTCAGTCACCTTTTGAGATGCTCTTTTTAAAAAATCTGTTGAATTTTCCAGTGATTTAGTGATTTTTGAGAACATAGTCACAATTTAATTGGAAATTTTAGTATTTGCAGAGTAGGGCCAGCAGCTTTTTAATTTTGTTTTTATTTATTTGATGAGTAGTGAGCACGCAGGGTAACAATTACGGGTGCTGAGAGGACCATTCCCTGAGCAGCCTCTGTCCCAGCTCCCCACTCAGGACTGCAACTCCCTGGGGATGCCCATGTTCAACTCCCAGAAATGTCTTCTTGTATTTGCTTTATTTTCAAAACCTGTTTGCTGTTTAAAGTAGCATCTTCAGCCCTCCTAGCAGCAAAGCCCCTCGCCATGCGCCCCTTGCCACACGAGGTCCAGTCTGCACGCCCTGTGCTGTCACAGCCGAGGTTTACCCTTCAAGGACGCGCCCCGTGTTCCAGCAGAGCCGCTGGGAGCACGTGTCCCCCTCGAGCCACTTTTGTTTTTCTTGGCTTGGTTTCTTCTGTGTTCTTCATTGCTGGTCCTCGCACACGGTGTCCGGGTGAGTGTCATCCGAGCCTTCCGAGCACAGCAGGTGCTTCCCCACCAACTCTCAGGGGCTCCCAGGTAACCCCTTGTCCCCCTTCGATGATTCCTTTTTATTTTATTTTTCAAGACAGGTTTTGCTCTGTCACACAGGCTGGAGTGTAGCGGCGTAGTCTCGGCTCACTGCAGCCTCCACCTTCCATGCTCAAGTCATCCTCCCGCCTCAGCCTCCCAAAGTGCTGGGATTACAGGCATGAGCCACTGAGCCCAGCAGGCCCCATATTTTTTAATGAAACATGTCCCCAGAGGCCTCTGTAGAGAAGGTGTCTGGCAGGTGCTTGTTTGTGAGAACTTCCTCTTCTCCTTGGCGGTTGTCGGTCAGTTGGCTCTTGGGTTGGAAGTCATGTTTCTTCAGGTACCGCGTGCCTGTTCACCGCCTCCGTGCCTGCGCCCTCCAGTGACGCACGACCTTGGAGGGGCCTGTGCGGTCAGGGTGGTGGATTTCTTCCTCGTTCCTCCTTCCTTCGATCACATCTCCTTTGGTTTTCTCTCTTCTTTCTGTAAATCCTGTTACTCAACTATATCGGGCCTCCAGAATTGATTGTCAAATCTTCTTTCCCTATTTCTACTCCTTTTATTTTTGTTCTCGTTTCTAAGAGGTTTTCTTTAGAACTTTATTTTTCAACGTTTGTGCTGAGCGTTCTGTTTCTGCACTCGTATTTTAAATTTCTCAGAACTCTCTTATCCTAACTGTTCCTCTCTCCTTTAGCTTCAGCTCCTTGGTTTCTTTCTTTTGTGGGGACGTTCTTGAGTTTATTTTTGGCACAGCCAGGTGAGAAGTCCCTGCACCTGGAGGAAGGTGTTGGGCCCTGAGGTGAAGCATGGTTTTTGCTGAAGGCACAGCGTCCGGTGGGACAACGGGGAATATGGTCTTGGACTCGTGGAGCTCTGACCACCGGCTGGTGGCACCTGCTGGCTGTGGTCTCCTCTGGATGGAGTGGGCCGGGCGCGGTGCTGGGCACCCATGTCTCAGTGGCACTGGGTAACAGCGTCTGCAGCAGTCACATCCCACAGTTCCTGGTACACGCTGTGGGTGCCGCTACAGGAGCCGTGGCTCAGGGAAATGCCAGCGTCCTTCACCCTCTGGGATTTCTCAGACACCTGCCTGCAGTAGATGATTTCCCCAAAGATTTCTTTGTTGTCGTCTTTATTTGAGATACACAGGGCAGAAGTAGGACTTGGCAACATGATTAGGCACAAAGATTTGTAGGTGGTAGGGGGTGGCCTGAGGCATTTTGGGGGGTACAGGCAGCGACCCAGCACCCTCAACCCTCGCACCGCACCTGAGGCCTTCGTGCTGCTCTCTTGGCACTTGCCGCCACTCACAAAAAGCACTTTGTTCGTTTGTTTTGTGAATGAGGTGCCGTTATTTCTCTGAGGGGGTCATCATCATCCTCTGAGGTCGTCCTCTGCCTGCGTCGCTGGCCTCTGCTCCTGCCCAGTGTGCTCTGTGCTCACCAGGCTGTGCTGGGGCATCCCCAGGTGCCAAGTGCTGCAGCCTCCACTCCCCGGGGAGCTTTGTCCACACTGGAGCCCAGTCTCACTGGCATCCTCATCCTCTTGCTGGGAAGGTCCAACACCCTTTTCAAAACCAGGGTGCCTCCTCCTCATCTGGGCCTCATGTCACTGACACGATCCTGCCTCGGTTTCCAAAGCATCCCCCTCCCTGTGGGCTGGCGCAGCTGCAGGTCTCCGGGATGGACCAGGCCCTGTGTATTGGGAGGTTTTGAATTTTCCTCCTTAAGACCCCGTGCCCTCCTGACACAGGAGCTGCACTGCAGAGGGGAGCTGCACTGCAGGGACCCCACTGCAGGCACAGTCAGTGTTTCCTGAGCAGTCATCGGATGCCTGTCTGCTGCCTGCCTTTGCTCCGTGCTGGGGATGCCCCGTCCGCTGCCTGCCTTTGCTCTGTGGCTGGCGTGGAGGGTGCAGGCTGCGCACGTCCCACTGCTCTTGAGGGCTTGCCTAAGACATCTGGGTTTTGTGGAGTCTTTGGGGGCCACGTCTGGAGAAGTGAGTGGAGGTCCCCTAAGGCTGGCGCGGAATGGGGGACTCAGGTGATGTACTCAACCTGTGAAGTTGCGTTTTCTTACTTGACGTGCGTCATTCTGACCGGGGTTATGTTTTTATGAAAGTATTTTTGGGGCCCATCAGTGTTTTCTCCGTGAGCAGAATCACAGCATGGTTGTCGCTGGGGCTGCGGGCCGATCACCCCTGCCCTGCCTCTGCCGTACGTCCCCCGCGGAACCCCCTGGAGAGCTGTGGGGGGGGACCCTGACCCTGTGGTGTTTCTAGGTGATGGCTCGGGTTTTGGAGCAAGACTGAGCCCGGGGTCAGGAGGCCCTGAGGCTCCAACTGCTGGTCCTGTGACCCCTGCTGCTATCTCTGGAAGGTTTCAGCCACTGCCGGAAGCCATGAAGGAGAAGGGGGTGCATCCGCAGCACGTGAAGGTATGGCTGGCGGGGCCGGTTCCACAGGTGCCCTCACAGCTCCCCAGGTGCAGCCTCGGGACACCCCCAAGCCCTACGTCCTGCCTTGCCGGGGAGAGCCTGGGAGGGGCAGCCTTTCCTGGGTGCCTCTGAGCACCTGCCTTTTAATGACTCACACGAGCCCGGGAGGGGCAGCCTTTCCTGGGTGCCTCTGAGCACCTGCCTTTTAATGTCTCAGCCCCAGTCCCACGGTGGCCCCGGAAGCCGCCCGCCCAGCTCTGTGCTGGCCCCTTAGGTGACCCCCTCCCATCCGGGCAGGGAGGTTCCTGTGAGCCCGTGGGCGGGTGGTGTCGCTCCACAGAGCCGGTCTGTGCCTCCCTCCCGCCTGCGTCCTGTAGAGAAGCCGAGGCTCTGGAAGCCCCGATGCTCTGGGACAGAGCCGGGGTCTCCTCAGAGGATGGGAGAGAAGCCACTCAGACTCCTTGGAGTCAACTTTGAAGGCAGAATTTTGTGAAACTTTTCGTAGGTTTTCTTTTCTCTCCCAGCTTAGCAGATCATTTATGGCAAAACCATCGACAAAAACTTGGCCAAACAAGTGAGTGAGAGAACGAGGCCCCTGCGGGTCCTACTTAAGTGGTAAACACATTTCCAAACAAAACCGTTTTCACCTCAGTGAAACCTGTTCTGAAAGCACAGTGAGTCCTCACTTAGCGTTGCCCCTAGGTTTCTGGAAAGTGACCTTGTAGGAAGGACACTCCTGTGCTGCTGGCCGCAGCTCCCGTGGTCTCAGCAGGCCCTGAGGTTGCCTTTGTTTACATGCGTTTCAAAGTCTCGGTTTCCAAAACCCATCCGTGACGTTAAGTGAGGACTTACTGCATTCAGAATAAAACTTGTTTTACTTTATTTGGCTGGGCATAGTGGCTCATGCCTAGAATCCCAACACTTTGGGAGGCTGAGACAGGAGGATCACTGGAGCCCAGGAGTTCAAGACCAGCCTGGGCAATGTAGTAAGACCCCTCTCTGTCAGAACTGAGTCAATTAAACCTCTTTTTTTCATTTAAAAAAAAACTTATTTTACTTTCTTAAACATGGAAATGGGAGATAATTTATTTTTTTAATTGGTTTTTTATTTCTTCTTTGCATTTCTTTTTTTTTTGTGAGACAGAGTCTCACTCTGTCACCCAGTGGTACAGTCATGGCTCACTGCGACCTCTGCCTCCTGGGCTCAAATGATCCTCCCACCGCAGCCTCTCAAGTAGCTTGGATTACAGGCATGAGCCACCACACCCAGCTAATGTTTGTATTTTCTGTAGGGATGGAGTGCTACCATACCCGGGCTCGTCTTGGGCTCCTGAGCTCAAGTAATCTGCCCACCTCAGGCTCCCAAGATGCTGGGATTACAGTGTGAGCCATTGCACCTGGCCTCAAATTTTTATACAATATAAAACATCAAGGAGATGTTTCTATTAGTGTTTCCTGTGAAAACAACCTAGTATTAGAATTCCTGATTTTAATGAATAAATTTGGTTGCTAGTGTTATCATAAATTATGAAACATACTTAGGTTTCATAATTTAAAAAGAAAAGCAAAAAAGGCAGGAAAGGACTCCTGTAGCCCTGGAGGCAGCAGCTGTGAAGTGGGGGGGAGAGGAAGAGGAGGAGCTGCTGTCCATGGAACAGCTTTGAAATGTCCTAAGTCCAGTTGAAAATCACAAGGAGATTTTTTCACAGTTGTCTTAATTTCTGGCCTGTGTTTTAGAGTGCGGAGCCCCGGGGTTGTGCCCACACTGGTGCGGCAGTGGGGATCTGAGTGGAGCTGGGTGCTTGCCCTGCTTGGAGGTGGCTCCAGGCACATGGGGGACACCCGCTGCTCAGATGCGGCCACAGACGCCAAGAGTGTGGTCGACGCTGTAGCAGCCCTATGGCACCTCTGCTGAGGAGTCCTGAGCACAGGTGGGGCCCTGGCCACTCTTGGCCACCTCCAGCCATGCCTGGAATTGAGCCGTGAGTGGGCACGGTATGCTTTGGAAACGAGGACCGCCCCCCCACCGACAGGCAGAGCCGCCTGGTCCGGAGAGTGGAGGTGGCAGAACCTCAGCCCCAGTGATAGTGTCTGTGGGACCCCCCAGGCTGCCTCACGGGCCACATTCCAAGGTGCCCACCAGGCTCTGCCCTACTTCCTGGCCTCACGGGACCCCAGCTGCGAGGGCCCCGCGTCACCTGGTGGGAGGCTGTGCCCCAGGGCCTCTGCATCTCTTCTTCGTAAGAGATGTTTTTTAAAATGCGTTTTCTCCTCAATATAAGATCTAGAAAAGCATATTAAAAAGAAGGAAATGGCCTGTCGTCTGCAGCTGGAAGGGAGGGGCCGAGCAGCTTCAGGGCCTGCCAGCCGCCCTGCTACCCCAGCCCTGCTCCCACTGAGCCCCCAACCCTGCTCCCCACCCCTCCCCCATCTCCGCTCTCCCTGGCACTGCCCCGCTCCCCCACCCCCACTTCCCCCCACCCTGCCCTGCTCTGCCGCAGACCTTGGTTTGCATCCATCCCATGCCACATACGTTGTGTTTAAAGTAAAATTGTTTTCAGTTGTTAAAGATAATTATCTTTAAAGTAAACATAGTATGCAATTTGGTGTTACTACTTTAGTGTTAATATTTGACTTTTTTTGGGCATGTCATTAAAATTATAGGAAACCATATTTTCAGTCAATCACACCCCATCGTAGGCCTCATCATTGCTTCATTTTGCATTTCCCTCTTTTTGGACTTTCTTAGATTCTTTTTCTCTTCAGGTTTTTATGCAGACGTGTGCTCTGCTTGGGGGTGTGCTCACATGGTGGTGACTGTGCGGAGCATCTGGGCTCTGGGCTGGTCATGACACCAGCTTCTCCATGGGGCCGTTTGCTTGCCCCTCCGCCCCCCTGGCGAGAGTCAAGTGTGTGTCCAGACACCCGCTGCAGCGTACTTAGTGGTATGAAGCAGCTGCCTCCTGCTCACAGACCTGTGGGCCAGGACCTCGGGCAGGGCTGTTGGAGATGGTTTTCTCTGCTCCCCATGCCCGACACAGGCAGCTTCACCCCACGCTGGTGGTTGGCACTGGCCTCGGCCGGACCATGCATAGAGGCCTCCTGGGTGGCCATCGTGTGGCCTCCTGGTAGCATCCCAGGAGGGCAGGGAGTGCATGATATGTCCGTGACCTTGCTGTGGACAGTGGCCTGAAGCTCTGCCCTGAGCTTTGTCCAGGCTTAGACGGGGGACGGTGTCCCCGTCAGGGAGCAGGTGGAGTGGAGGAAGTGGCAGGGCCATCTTTGGAGCAGCTAATAGAGAAATTCACTCCAAGCCTGGCTTCTGTGTGGTCTCTCTGAAGGTCGGGGGAGGTGGGCTTGAAAACCCTGTAGCTTGAGAAGTGGGTGCTGCCTCTACAAAACCGAGGTGATGCCCTCCCTCTCCACAGCTGCCCACCCTTCACAGAGCCCTGACTGCAGCTCAGGGCTGCAGGTGATGTAGAGCGTGGCTGTGTGGGGTGGCAGGCGACTCTCTCCTCCTGACACACTTTCCCACCACAGGCTTTGCTGCAGATGGTGTGTGACGAGAGCCACCAGATCCTGGCACTGTCAGAAGGCCTTGCACCCCTGACTGGCGAGCCACACCCACCCCGGAAGGGAGACAAGGTACGGGAAGACTTGCTCTGTGGGGGAAAGACGCAGTTTTGTTTTGCACCTCACACACGTCTTTTCCAAAGGATTTAAGGAGCTTGCAGTAACAGCCGCATCCCTAGGGCCACGTGAAGACTAGGATTTTTTCTTTTCTTTTTTTTTTGAGACGGAGTCTCGCTCTCTCTCCCCCAGGCTGGAGTGCGGTGGCATAATCTCGGCTCACTGCAACCTCCACCTTCCCAGGTCAAGCAGGTCTCTGCCTCAGCCTCCCCAGTAGCTGGGATTACAGACACACACCACCACGCCCAGCTAGTTTTTGTATTTTTAGTAGAGATGGGGTTTCACCATCTTGGCCAGGCTGGTCTTGAACTCCTGACCTCGTGATCCACCCGCCTTGGCCTCTCAAAGTGATGGGATTACAGGCGTGAGCCACCATGCCTGGCCTAGGATTTCTTTAGCATGGCCAAAAAGACAGACTGAGGTCCAAGAACCCTGGGGAGGCCTCCTGGTCTCCCACAGCTGGCACAGGCTCTGGGGGCAGGTTCCCTGCGGGACGTGGAGGTGTGTGTGGGGCAGAAGGGCTCAGGACTTTTGGGCCTGCGGACTCGGCCCATGCCAGCACTTGTCCCCCAGGGCCTCTCCTCCTGCCACTCAGTGTGTGTCTTCTCTTCTGTCAGGGTCATTTCTGTTTGAACGGCTGCCAGTCTGCTCAGCTGCCACCACTGAACACCCCAGACCAGGGGCTTAAACAGCAGACATTGATTGCGCCTGTTGTGGCATCAGGGTGCCCACAGTGTTGGGTTCTGGTGTGGGTGCCCTTCCTGGTTTGCAGACAGTGCCTCCGTGCTGTGTCCTCACATGATGGAGACAGCGAGTGAGCTCTGGTGTCTCTTCCTCTTCTTACGAGGCCTCATTTACCCTGAATCACCTCCTGCAGGCCCCATCTCCAAACGTAGTCACACTGCAAACTTTGGGGCACAAGCATGCAGGTGCATTTGTGAGGAGGCCACATTTCTTCCTTCATCCTTTAGGACGTGCCCACCGTGTGCCCTGATTGGAGGGGGGAGCTTCTGCAGGTTGTGCAGGAGGCATTTGAAAAAGAGCCGGAGATACAGGGGGTTGAGCTGCAGCCCCGACTCAGTGGCTCAGATCTGGGGGGTCACAGCTTCCCGCTTGAAAGGCTGGAGAAGGCCATCAGTGAGCAGGTGAGTATCAGCTCTGCCACCAGGCCTTAGTTTACCCCAGGGGTCCAGCCCCGGCAGAGAGGGTGACACAGACTGTTTGGTGTGTGAATTTCGGTTTGCGTGTTTCTCTTGGCTGCTGGAATGTGGCTGTGGCTCACCCAGGCGTTCACACTCAGTCCATGCAGGGTGCTGCACTTCACCTGCAGCTATAACCGGACGGTGTGCTCGTGATGCACGTGGTGCACGGCCTCACTCTCTTCTGAGATAAGCGGCTAAAGAAACGTTCTCTGTTCCAAGTAGCCCCTCCTGGGTTGAGAGATGCTCTGTTTGCAGGGCTGGGTGGCGTTGGTGCCACGGGGACACTGTAAATCCTGTCCCCGCCAGCGTACACATGAGGAGACCTAGTGTGGAGAGTAACTGGCTTGCAGGCCTCACGCAGGGTAGCGCAGCCCAGCCCTGACGCCTGCAGGCCCCAGAGCTGAGGCCCAGGAGCTACTCTGCACCCACCCCAGACTCAGTAGGCTTGCCCTGGTGGAGCGGGGTTAGAGGGCAGGCCGCAGGGAAGGCCGGGGTATGGGGTGGCCGCCCGGTGCTCAGGCTGCTTTTCCCGTTCTGCCCCCAGGGAGACCTGCAGGAAAAGTCCCTGGAGCAGCTTCGCCTGCCGGACCGGAGCAGCCTGCTGTCCGAGATCCAGGCTCTGCGCGCCCAGCTGCGCATGGCGCACCTGCAGAACCAGGAGAAGCTGCAGCACTTGCGCACGGCCCTGACCAGCGCGGAGGCGCGTGGGAGCCAGCAGGAGCACCAGCTGCGCAAGCAGGGTGGGTGCCCCTGTCGACACTGCCTGTGGGGCCCGGCCTCTGCACCTGCCCACCTGACGCTCACCTGTGTGGCCTTGGGAGCAGAGGGTGGTGACAGGGCGTCATCTAGTCAAGCCCCTGAGTGTTGCCGTGGTTGTCAGCTGATAGAACTGAGCAGAAAGGACCATGGAGACAGGCAGCACCCAGTGGGGCCAGCACAGAGGCCTCACTGCTGGGCCTGGTGTGGGCAAGAGGAGCCTGGGTTGGGCTCTGAGTGCTGGCAGATTCTTGGGAGTTCACACTAGAGTTCAGGAATGTCTTTTAGGTTTCTACATTTAATGTAGCTTCTTCGGGAGTTTTTATGTAGACGCTCAGGTCATCTGTGCATAAGTAACGATTGATTCTTCATTTCCTGCCCACATTGTCTCGTGTGCTGTGTGGGCAGACGCCTTTCCCTGCTCTTAGTTTTAGGGACAGGAGCTGGTCTCGTACCCTTGCATGTGGGGTCAGGCGCCCTTGGTCAGCTCGGGGAAGCGCCCTCTGTTCCTAGTCTTGGATTCTGTCAAGGGGAATGGCCTTGCAGTTCAGCCCATGCCCTTGTCCCAGCACCTGTGCCCTTTGTGCTCTCTGGGGCTGGGGCCGGCACTGTCCGAGCGCTCATGAGGGGCACGGTGTGGGGGGCGGCGCTGTCTGACTGCTCGTGAGGGGCGTGGGGGCGGGGGATAGGCTGGCACTGTCCGAGTGCTCGTGAGGGGCACTGGTCTGTTTTCTTTTGTGCCTTTTGGTCTTGGTGCTGGGTAGTGCCAGTGCCACGGGGTGTGGGAGTATTTGGGAAGCAGCCCTCCGCCCTCCGTTGTGTGGAATTGGTGTTCTTTCTTCCTTAAACTTTGGGAGAATTTTCCAGTAAAGCCACCTGGCCTGGAGTTCCTCTGTTGGAGGCAGTTTAGGGTGTGAGTGGGGGTGGGGTGGCGTTTTAGGACGGCTCCAGGGCTACATCACCCCTGGACTCTGTGTGCTCCCAGCCAGGAGGGTGGGCCCTGGAAGGAAATGGGCCCAGAGGGCAGAATGGAGCATCCTGGTTCCACCCGCAATGAAAGCTTCTAGTCCACAGAACCTCCTTTCTTCCCGAAGCAGATAAACCCCACGTCCCCATAAGTCTGTCTCTGACCAGGTGTCACGTGTGCAGCACGGGGAGCTCATGGGGTCCTGTGTTTCTGTTCTTTGGTCTTTCTCAGTTGAACTGCTGGTCTATAAAGTAGAGCAGGAGAAGTGCATCGCTGGCGACTTGCAGAAGACGCTGAGTGAAGAGCAAGAGAAAGCACACGGCGTGCAGAAGCTCCTGGCGGCGGAGCAGAGTGTGGTGCGAGATTTGAAGTCCGAGCTCTGTGAGAGCAGGCAGGAGAGTGAACGGCTGTCCCGGTCCCTCTGCGAGGTGCAGCAGGAGGTCCTCCAGCTGAGGTGCGCCTGATCCACCTTCCCTGGACACTGGCAGGAGTCTCGCCGTTGTGGCCACGGTTTTCTTGACGATGAAGGGAAACAGAACCTCTGGTGGGCCGCAGTTGGGCAGCTCCAGGGGCACCACGCCCTGCCGTGCCTGGGTTGATAATCCTGTGGTGGGGGGTGAGGCACATGTGCACGACCTGGCAGGGCTCTGCCTCCCCTGCTGGAGCTCCCAGCCCCCGGGAGCTCACTCTCGCCCATGTGTTCAGAGTGTTCTGTGACGTCTCCACGCAGGTCCATGCTGAGCAGTAAGGAGAACGAGCTGAAGGCCGCGCTTCAGGAGCTGGAGAGTGAGCAGGGGAAGGGGCGTGCCCTGCAGAGCCAACTGGAGGAGGAGCAGCTCCGGCACCTGCAGAGGGAGGGCCAGAGTGCCAAGGCCCTGGAGGTAACAGGGCGTCACGGCAAGGCAGCCGGCATGGGCCGAGTCCACTGGAAGCCTGAAGCCATGTTCCTCTTTCCTCCTCCTTTTCCTGTTCTTCATGGCAGTGTGCCCAGTTGACAGCAGTGTGAGGTAGCAAGATAGGGCTGTGTTTTCAGGTAAAATTGCACCTTGGGGTAGTGGCAGCGACCACAGGGCATACTGTGCGATGACCCGTGATGGCACGATACCCCTGCTCAGAGCCCCCACTGTCCCCGAGCACTTGCTGTGGAGATGGACACAGCCTCCTCGCTGGCCATCCAGACAGAGCACAGCCTCAGAGGTCTGTGCACTAGGCGGGCTGGTGGTGGGGGCCCTCTGCTTTGTATGGCAGAGGCTCAGCAGGCATCCTGTGGGTTCCAAGCAAGTCTGTGCCAGTTCCGTGGGTTATGACTTTCAACAGCATGGAAATGGTGGTTCCTAGCAAGCAGGGTGTGCATCTCTGAGCCTCTTTGGTGGAGTGATTTTCTGGAGAGGGGGCGGGCAGGGGACATCTCTGAATCATTTTCTGGAGAGGGACAGACAGGGAACATCTCTGAACCCAGGACGCGTATGTGCAGCTACTCAACACCACTTCCAAAAAGAGTATATCACCTCCGCAGTCAGGGTTTTTTGTTACTTGATGAACTAACAAAAAAATCTTATCCCTACATATGGCTAATAGGGTGCATTTCAAAAGGTAGAACTGCTCAGCTAAAGTATATAAACAAATGTGGACAGGAAAACCATGTAGACGCTTTCCCGCTTGATTCGGCGTCTTCCGTCGTGTGTGTTTGCTGTCTAGGAGCTGCGGGCGTCTCTGGAGACACAGCGTGCTCAGAGCAGTCGACTCTGTGTGGCACTGAAACACGAGCAGACGGCCAAGGACAACCTGCAGCAGGAGCTGCGCATCGAGCACTCACGCTGTGAGGCTTTGCTGGCTCAGGAGCGGAGCCAGCTCTCCGAGCTCCAGAAGGACCTTGCGGCTGAGAAGAGCCGCACCCTGGAGCTGTCAGAGGCCTTGCGGCACGAGCGGCTCCTGACTGAGCAGCTGAGCCAGAGGACACAGGAGGCTTGTGTGCACCAGGACACACAGGCCCATCACGCTCTGCTGCGGAAGCTGAAGGACGAGAAGTCCCGGGTGGCGGACTTGCAGGCGATGCTTGAAAAGGTGCAGCAGCAAGCCCTGCGTTCTCAGCAGCAGCTTGAAGCTGAGGCTCAGGAGCACTGTGAGGCGCTCAGGAGAGAGAAGGAGGTAAGTGCCACCCTGAAGTCGACGGTGGAAGCCCTGCACACCCAAAAACGAGAGCTGAGATGCTCTCTGGAGAGAGAGAGGGAGAAGCCAGCGTGGTTGCAGGCAGAATTAGAGCAGTCACACCCACGGTTGAAAGAGCAAGAAGGACGCAAGGCTGCGAGGAGGAGCGCGGAGGCCGGGCAGAGCCCAGCGGCTGCGGAGCGGTGGAGGAAGTGGCAGAGAGACAAGGAGAAGCTGGTGAGAGCCGCCTGCCGGCGGGGCGTCCACATCTAGAAACAATAAGCAATTGGAGTTAGGATGGTTCACGTGGGGGACGTGAGGTGGATGTCTGGCCCTCTGATCTGGTCTGCCCTGGCCTGTGTGCGCCGACGCTGGCACCACACTGCTGTCACTGTAGCTTTCTGGGAAGTATTGAAATCAGGAAGTGATTCCTCCAACTTCGTTCTTCCCTTTCAGGATAGTTTCAGCTCTGTGGGGCTTCTTGCTGTTCCACAGGAATCTGAGGAGTGGTGTTTGTGTCTCTGCAGAACCTGCCACTGGGACTTTCTTATGGACTGTGTTAAATGAGCTGATTGCTCTGGATAGTATTGACATCTGGACAGTATGAGGTCTTCTGATCCAGGGTTACAGAAGGTGTCTCTCCATTTAATTAGGTTTTTTTTTTTTTTTTTGAGATGGGGTCTGGCTCTGTCACCCAGGCTGGAGTGCACTGGTGTGATCTCAGCTCACTGCAGTCGCCACCTCCTGGGTTCAAGCGATTCTTCTGCCTCAGCCTCCCATGTCGCTGGGACTGCAGGCGCCACCACCATGCCTGGCTAATTTTTGGATTTTTAACAGAGACAGGGTTTTCCATGTTGGCCAGGCTGGTCTCAAACTGCTGACCTTGGGTGATCCGCCCACCCCGGCCTCTCAAGCTGCTGGGATTACAGGCGTGAGCCGCCGCACTCAACTGTTTACGTAGGTCTTCTTTAGGTTATTTCAGTAGTGTTTCATTGCTTTCAAAATATGAGTTTTATACTTTTGTTAAATTTATTTACTTATTTTTTGAGGCCGAGTCTCATTCTGTCACTCAGGCTGGATTGCAGTGGCACAAACTCAACAATGTTGAATAGAAGTGATGACAGCAGGCCAGGCGCGGTGGCCCACGCCTGTAATCCTAGCACTTTGGGGAGCTGAGGTGGGCGGATTACTTGAGGTCAGGAGTTCGAGACCAGCCTGGCCAACATGGCAAAAGCCTATTTCTACTAAAAATACAAAAAATTAGCTAGGCATGATAGTGTGTAAATGTAATCCCCGCTATTCGGGAGGCTGAGGCAGGAGAATTGCTTGAATCCGAAAGGTGGAGGTTGCAGTGAGCTGGGATTGCGCCACTGCACTCCAGCCTGGGCAACAAGAGAAGACTCCATCTCAAATAAAAAGAAACTCTTCGGAGTAGTCGTCGTTTCTTACGTCCAGAAGCCTTGGAGAGCAGGGAGGTGGTTTGGTGCCGCAGACAGTGTGGAGAGCGGGGAGGTGGTTTGGTGCCGCAGTCGGTGCGGAGAGCGGGGAGGTGGTTTGGTGCCGCAGTCGGTGCGGAGAGCGGGGAGGTGTTTGGTGCCGCAGTCGGTGCGGAGAGCGGGGAGGTGGTTTGGTGCCGCAGTCGGTGCGGAGAGCGGGGAGGTGATTTGGTGCCGCAGTCAGTGCGGAGAGCAGGGAGGTGGTTTGGTGCTGCAGTCAGTGCGGAGGGCAGGGAGGTGGTTTGGTGCTGCAGTCAGTGCGGAGGGCAGGGAGGTGGTTTGGTGCCGCAGACAGTGCGGAGAGCAGGGAGGTGGTTTGGTGCTGCAGTCAGTGCGGAGAGCGGGGAGGTGATTTGGTGCCGCAGTCAGTGCGGAGGGCAGGGAGGTGGTTTGGTGCTGCAGACAGTGCGGCTGAGCGTGGGAGGGGCGTCTACACAGGACCCCGGCTGAGGGTGAGATGGCGTGTGTGTGTTTGCCTTTCTCCTGGGCAAGGGCTCTACCTTTCATGAAATGCTCAAAGGAGTCTTTACTTTTTGAGAACTTTCTGAAACCACGCCTGAAGTTTCCAGCCAAAACTTTTAATTTAATTTTGATTATTTATTAAAAAGAATAGTAACACGAGTGCTTAGAAAATGTTTTCTAAGTTGCATTAGTAACTTGCCTTTAGGATGCACCTTGACCTGTATTTTGAGTGAAGTGGCCCTTCCAGAGTATTTGTGGGTTTTTTTGGTTTGTTTGTTTGTTTTGAGGCAGAGTCTTGCTCTGTCTTCCAGGCTGGAGTGCAATGGCATGATCTCGGCTCACTGCAACCTCCACCTCCCGAGTTCAAGTGATTCTCCTGCCTCAGCCTCCTGAGTAGCTGGGATTACAGGGGCCCGCCGCCACGCCCTGCTAATTTTTGTATTTTTAGTAGAGACGGGGTTTCCCCATGTTGGTCAGGCTGGTCTTGAACTCCTGACCTCGCGATCCGCCCACCTCAGCCTGCCAAAGTTCTGGGATTACAGGCGTGAGCCACCATGCCCGGCCTCCAGAGTGATTTTTACTGAGGATAGTGAATTTGATCTGGATTATAGAATCCTTCTCTAGCTGTAGCCGTGGAAGCCTCCCAAGATAGTGGCATGCCAGAGACAATTCCATCTTTTCTAAATGATATAATCTCATTAGTTCCTCTGTATCTTACTTTCCTTACTAGAAAATAGAAAAGATAATCATTCCCGTTTAAGAGGCCCGAGCGTTGAGTGAGACGCTGTCAGGAGGGTTGAGTCTTGAGCTGCATCCTGGTCACCGCGGTGGCAGGGACGCTGGTGCCACACAGCGCAGGCTCAGCTGTGGGTCCTCTGGGCTGGGGTGGCCTCAGCTCCGTGCTGGGGTTCCCTCCCTGACACGGCGACCGCCTCTGTGTGTGCATCTGGGGCCTCTTCCCGCCGGGTCTGTCTTTATTTTGTCACAAGGAAGCCCCAGTGGCGTTACTGGGAATCCGAGGCCCTTCCAAGGCTGCTTCATCCCTCCTTGCCCCATCGTGCAATAGACCTTCTCTCCTGTGGCTGGCGGGAGTTGTGCTCTGGGCAGGGGCTCAGGCGCTTGCTGACATGCTTCTCCCGGCCACCGGACATGGCCCGTGCCCCCATCCTGCAGAAGGGAAGGCTGCTGCTCCTTGAGGTCTGGCTTAGGAGCCCAGGCCCACGTGGCCACCCAGGCTCAGCCCCAGCGCTGCACTCAGGCTCATGCGTGTGTGCACGTTCACATGCACAAATGTGCCTGTCCGTGTCTGTGTTGGTCTGAACGTCTGGACGTGGGCATGTTTGGGGCCAGGGGACCGGGAAGCGTCATCCTGTCTGGTTCAGCTTCTCAGGCTCCTCTCCTTTGGACCCCGCGTGCTTGCCCTGGGCCTGAGGAAAGCCTGATAGTTTTAAAAACTACAGTGAAAACGCTTACCACTGAATCACTCTGGGGCGTGATTCAGCTGCCTCCGTGCTGGAGGCACACAGAGCAGCACAGCACGAGGGTGTGCAGTGCATTAGGCCGTGGGTCCCAGTGCAGGACCACAGAGGCCGCCTGCCCTAGGGCCTGTTTCTGGCCTGTGAGGGGCCTCCCCTGTAACGCGGCTGTGTGTGTTTTTTTTTTTGAGACGGAGTCTCACTTTGTCGCCCAGGCTGGAGTGCAGTGGCGCGACCTCGGCTCCGCAAGCTCCGCCTCCTGGGTTCCCGCCATTCTCCTGCCTCAGCCTCCCGAGTAGCTGGGACTACAGACGCCCACCACCACACCCGGCTAATTTTTTGTACTTTTAGTAGAGACGGGGTTTCACCGTGTTAGCCAGGATGGTCTCGATTTCCTGACCTCGTGATCCGCCCACCTCTGCCTCCCAAAGTGCTGGGATTACAGGTGTGAGCCACTGCGCCCGGAGCGGCTGTGTGTTTTGGGCTTTTGCCTGGCAGGTTTTTTTTTTTTGGAGCCGGAGTCTCACTCTGTTGCCAGGCTGGAGTGCAGTGGTGCAATCTCGGCTCACTGTAACCTCTACCTTCCAGGTTCAAGCGATTCTCCTGCCTCAGCCTCCCGAGTAGCCAGGTTTACAGGTGCACGCCACCACGCCTGGCTAAATTTTTATATTTTTAGTAGAGATGGAGTTTCCCCATGTTGGCCAGCCTGGTCTCAAACTCCTGACCTCAGGTGATCTACTCGCCACAGCCTCCCAAAGTGCTGGGATTACAGGCATGAGCCACCACGCCCCGCCGGCAGTTTTTTTTTTTGTTTTTTGTTTTTTTTTTTGTTTTGAGACGGAGTCTCGCTCTGTTGCCCAGGCTGGAGTGCAGTGGTGCGATCTTGGCTCACTGCAAGCTCCGCCTCCCGGGTTCACGCCATTCTCCTGCCTCAGCCTCCCAAGTAGCTGGGACTACAGGCGCCCACCGCCACGCCCAGCTAATTTTTTCCGTAGGCTGAACCAGGATGGTCTCGATCTCCTGACCTCGTGATCCGCCCGCCTCGGCCTCCCAAAGTGCTGGGATTACAGGTGTGAGCCACCGCGCCCGGCCAGCAGTTTTGTTTTTGGACACTGACGTGAACGTCTTCTCTATCTTTTTTCTGCTAACAACAGCGAGAATTAGAACTGCAGCGTCAGCGTGACTTGCATAAGATCAAGCAGCTTCAGCAGACGGTGAGAGACCTGGAGTCGAAGGACGAGGTGCCTGGCAGCCGCCTCCACCTGGGTTCTGCCCGCAGGGCTGCTGGCTTGGATGCTGACCACCTCCGAGAACAGCAACGAGAGCTGGAGGCGATGAGACAGCGGCTGCTCTGTGCTGCCGGGCTTCTCACCAGCTTCGCCAGCCAGGCCATGGACAGGTGTGCACCTGCGCCACTTGGTGCTTGCTGGTCCCTTGCAGCCACGCCTCTGTCAGAGACCCCTCCCCAGGGCTTGGGTGCGTCTGGTGTGAGGCCCCTGCTTCTTTACACTTAACGCTGTAGTCCTCTTCCTGGGACTTTCCTGAGGGATTCCAGATTGGCAGGATGGCATGTTCATATTCTAATGTTAGAGAAAAAATTCTGTGATTCAAACTACGCCTGGTGTGGGGCGTCCATGTTTCTTTGAGGGTTGGCTTGGTTCTCTTTACACTGTGCAGTTGCTCACAACCCACAGGGTCGGGTTTGGAGCCTCCTGTGCCCCCCCCCGGCTGGCGCTGCCCAGTGTCACTCAAGGCCACTCACACCCAGGATGACGATCGTGATATTTCATATGGGCAGAAAGAGTAATGCTAATGTTCATCTTTTTCCCTATACACAGAAACTCAGCAAATACAGTTCTCCTTTCTATACTTGGACTTAATGTATAGAGCAGCATGATTTCCCTTAGGACAGCATTTTAAATCATTAATTCCAGAGGAAAGCCGCGGGGCCTGGCAGGCGACGGCTTCCCGTACTCAGTGGCGAGTCTCCCGGCTGGAGGTTTCTGAGCTCTGCAGAAGCGTCCACCCACAGGCCTGTTCCCCCCGGGCCTCTGGCTCTGCCTCATGGACGAAGTGATTGACACACAGGCTCTTCAGGAACCTGTCTTCTCCTTGTTTCTCTTGAACCAAGAGTTCTTGTTTAGTTTTGGATAATGGTCACCTGGGGTGCATATGAACCTTTAAGTGCCCATTTATTTTTACAGGACAGTTAACGATTGGACATCATCCAATGAGAAAGCAGTGGTGTCGTTACTGCACACGTTGGAGGAGCTGAAGTCTGACTTGAGCAGGCCCACCTCCTCCCAGGTAAGGGGTGAGTGCCCCCAGGTCCCTGCCCCGGCTCCTCCCGCAGAGGGGCCCTCTCGGCAGCTTTGTGGTTTCTTTTTCATGCCGCCCAGTTGTTCTTCCTCCCTTGCTGTCTTCTCTAAATTCATGGTTGCTATCTGGGTGAGTGGGTGGGGTCGACCCTGTGGGCCGAGTGGGGACGGATGTCCTCCATGTCCTGGGGCACTTGTGTGGTCTTCGGGGGTGAGCCCTGCTGCCCATGGAATGCTGCGTGACTGTGTGGACGCCCCCCAGTGCTGCTCACTGTGCATGACCTGAACACACCGCCGGCTGCAGTCAGGAGGGGCTGTGGTTCTGCTCCGGTGCTGGGCTGATGTTCACCTCCACCTGGCCCCACCTGCTGGCTTTGTGTTTGTGTTGATGGCCTTTGCTAGAAACAAAAACCCAAGTCCTCCTTGGAAAGTCTGAGCTCACCGTAAGCTGCCTCTGAAGGAGGTGGGAATCTGGCTGCTGGTATCAGTTCCTGATGCGAGTTCTGTGGCGTTTATGAAATCATGACTTTTATCATGGAACCCATGCATGTGAGGTGCAGGGGAGCTGCACCACTTACCCTCCAGCCCCGCCAGCCGAGCGTCGTTGTGGGTGGTGTGCACCCTGCCCCTGCCTTGGGCCCTGGTGACCTTCCAGTGTGCCCACCCTCCGTAGGCTGAACGTCCTTTTGATGGGAGAAGTAAGAAACCTGTTTTGAGGGGCTTCACATCCGCCCCCTTGGGATGAACTAACAGCGATCCAGCCACCTGTCAGTTACAGTGCTGTGAGAACAACCAAACGGGCTATGCTTTGTGACAGGCCTGCATTGTTCATACAGGCCAGCCTTGTGCAAAGTCTATGATTCTAGGACTTCTACAATTTTCTGCCAGCCCCACAAGCTTCTTATTGAACCCCAGACACATTAATTACAATCCTTAGAAATAACTGTTGACAAAAAAACACAAATAATGTGCATGCCCTTTAACAACAAATTCTTACGAATTTATTTTTTTTTCTCCAAGAAAAAAATGGCAGCAGAGCTGCAACTCCAGTTTGTGGACGTCCTGCTGAAAGACAATGTTTCCCTCACGAAAGCCCTCAGCACGGTGACCCGGGAGAAGCTGGAGCTGAGCAGGGCCGTGTCTAAGCTTGAGAAGATGCTGAAGCACCATCTGCAGAAAGGCTGCAGCCCGAGCGTAGGTGTCTGTGCTTAACTCTCGCCTGCCTCACCCTAACCCGCCATGGTCCAGAGCAGCTCCACCCCACAAGAGGCCAGGCTCCGTTTAGGGAACTGGGGATGTGGGCGTCAGCTTCTCCCTCACCGCCGGGCTCCGTTGCCTCTGTCTGAAGCCTTGCTAAATGTTGTGGGATGTTTGACCATCTCAGCCGACTTCCAGCTTCACCACAGACAGCGTCCTCATTGACCCTGACCACTACTGGATGTTTAGTGCATGTTCATAAAAGAGTATTTTGACTAAAAATATTATAATCTGATTGAATTTAGAGTTTTATTTAAAGTGACTTATAAGTTTTTTTTTTTTTTTTTTTTGAGACGGAGTCTTGCTCTGTTGCCAGGCTAGAGTGCAGTGGCGTGATCTTGGCTCACTGCAACCTCCACCTCCCAGGTTCAAGCAGTTCTCCTGCGTCAGCCTCCCTAGTAGCTGAGATTACAAGTGCCTGCCACCACACATGGCTAATTTTTATATTTTTAGTAGAGATGGGGTTTTGCCATGTTGGCAAGGCTGGTCTCAAAATCCAGACCTCAGGTGATTCTGCCCGCCTCGGCCTCCCAAAGTGCTGGGATTACAGACATGAGCCACCGTGCCCGGCCTAAAGTGACTTGCAATTTTCCTAATGGTATAGTTGGATAGAGTTATTTTCTGGAATGCTTGATTTTTTTCTTTTGTATTTAGGCTGTTTTGTTTGTGATTTGCTTTTTTATAACTTTTTAAAAAATTATTTTTAAATTTACATACAGTAAAATTTACCCTTTCCTGGTGTAGTGTCATACAAGTTCACACACGCACACATCCCTGTAACCTTCATAAGTAACCACCATTCACAGAACACACAGCAATGGCCCCCTCAAAAGAGCAGCAGGCACCCCCGCCTGCCGCAGGCCCTGGCTCTTTCCTAGAAAGGTGTGTCAGTGGAACCAGAGCATCTGGGGCCTCTTCAGCTGGCTTCTTTCACTTTTTGGGTTTTTTCTGAGACAGGGCCTTGCTCTATCTCCCAGGCTGGAGTGCAGTGGAGCAGTCACAGCTCACTGCAGCCTTGACCTCCCAGGCTCAGGGATCCTCCTGGCCTGAAGTGGTGTTAGCAGCAATCTGTGCACGTCCTCCTCTATACTCTTAAGTCATCTCTAAGATCACCTGCAGCACTTGATTCGGTGTGCTTAACTCTCACCGGCCTCAGCCTAACCCGCCATGGTCCAGAGCAGCTCCACCCCACAAGAGGCCAGGCCATGTAAATAGTTGTTGTGAATAGTTGTTATCCTGTATTGTTTAGGGTGTAGGGGCAAGAAAAGAAGTGTATGTGTTTGGTGCAGACACATCTTTTTTTCTGAATATTTTTCACCCACAGTTGGTTGAACCCATGGATGCGGATCCCACAGCTGTCGAGAGCTGACTGTGTTTGTAGTTATCAGTGGCTGGCATTTCTAGGACCAGAGAATATGAGAGTGTTTAAGGCTTAAAGCTTTGAATTTGGGGTGATTTTACAAATAATTAGTTTTCTGTTTCTACTAAAATGGACCTTTTTTGCAGTCATACTTCAGCAAGTGGCATGTCGTAATTACGCCATGTTAATTCTTTGACTGATCACAGCACGGCGTAACCTAGGCCCTGCTGAGGGGGTGCTGAAGATGAGGAGGGCCCAGGCGTGGTGTGGTCAGCCTGGCCTCCCTGCACACGGCATTCTCCCTAACCTGCCCCTGGCTGCCTCTCTAAGATGCTCTTGTTGACGAGCAGCTCTGTAGACAGTGTGGGCTGTGCTTCCTTACAGAAGTCGGAAAGGGCTGCTTGGAAGCCAGACGAAACGGCTCCACAGAGTTCCCTGAGGCGCCCAGACCCTGGCCGGCTTCCACCGGCTGCCAGCGAGGAAGCACACCCCAGCAACGTCAAGGTAGGAACAGTGCCACGAGTATAGAACTTTGGTGCTTTTTTAAGTCCTGGGTTTGTAAATTGCAGGCAAAGTATTTTGGGGACCACAAGGTTCTCGTCTGCCGGGTGTAGCAATCACATCACTAAAGGAAAGGAAGTTCAGAGAATAAACTTCAGCTTGAATTTTGGTTTAGTTGTGCACACGTACTGTGTTTCTATGCTTGTTAAGTGTGGAACGTGGAAGGCTTTGACCAAGTCAGCAAATGGCAGCCTCTGCAGCCTGAGGGAGGCCTGGCCCAGGGACTTGCCGGGATTTGGCCCAAGCTCTGCTGCAGCCTCCTGGTGGCACACAGCCCCCACCCTGTGACGTCTATCCCATGCCCAATTTGGACCTTACCTAAGAGGTTAAATTCAAGAAGCCTTCATAGGGGCTCATTTGATGATGCTGTGGAGAGAAGCTTGTGGTTCTAGATCTTGTCTGACAAACACAAACTGGTCTTTGAGCAGAACAGCAACGTTGTTTCCGGCCACAGATACTGTTGCAAGGCCGATGGCCTCTGTGATGATTTGCTGAGAAAAAACAATCTGACTCTTTGGAGAGAGCGATGGTGTAAATGTGCTTTGTCAGCAAGACAGGCGTCGTTTCCTATGGTAAAATCTGTTTTTTTCTTTTAGATGGAAAAATTGTACCTGCATTATTTGAGAGCAGAGAGCTTTAGAAAAGCTCTGATTTATCAAAAGAAGTATCTTTTGCTGTTGATTGGTGGATTCCAGGATTCTGAACAAGAAACACTCTCCATGATTGCCCATTTGGGGGTATTTCCTTCCAAAGCGGAGCGGAAAACCACATCTCGCCCTTTCACACGGTTCCGCACGGCCGTCAGGGTGGTGGTTGCCGTATTGAGGTAAATGCCGTGACATCCAATCAGCACGTCCGCGTCTGTCCCCGTGAATGGGCAGCACACTGCATGGTTTTTTGGTGATTTTATTCCTTGAAACTCTATAATATGTTCTCTTTTTAAAGATGAATGGCATTTGAGGCCTTAGAGAAAATACAGATGATGAACTTGTCTTCAAGAAGTCATGTGTATGAAGCTGTCACCTTCTGAAACTAAAGATTTAAGGGCACCTTTGTATTACAGAGGAACATCCTGACTTTTAATGGGTTTCGTGCCACAGTTTTTTCCATTTCATAGTTGTAGAATGTGCTGAATTTCAAAAACTGCTCTTCCGCCTAAACGCTGTGTGGCTGTGCCTGCTCCCTGACGCCACAGTGTTCCCTGAGGCCACACACAGGCCTGTCTGGAGGAGCAGATGCAGCAGAGAGTAGCTAGGAGTCCTGTTCCTTTCAGAGACCAGGCGCCAAGAAGTTCAGTCCTCGCAGCTGCGGGCTGGGCTGAAGTGGGGTACAGGCGAGGCCTCCTGGGATGCTGTGCTCTCAGCTTCTCTGGTTCTGGGGCACTTTTGTCTCCTCGGCTCTGAGCTCCCCTGACCGTAGGCCTTCACTGTCCATCCTTTCATCCACCCATCTGTCCATCCTGTGTTCGTGGGGAGAACACCCTGCATGAAGAAGCATTTTAGGCACTAGATGGGGGAGGTAAGCGGACCCAAATCCTACCTCCAGGGTCTTCCTGTCGAGGAGGGATCATTTGAAGGCAGCAGTGTCCCAGACAGGAGCAGTCTCTGTGTACCTGTGAGAGCACTGCCTAGGGTAGCTGCCACCTTGGGGCCTTCACGGGTCTCATGGAGGAATCGGCAGTGTCTGCTGTGCCTCAAAGGGAAGCCACAGGCATGATGCTTGTCCCGAAGGCCATCCTACCTAGCAGGACGTCTGGGGCCGTGCACCCTGACCTGCATGCCCTCGTCACCTGCACCCTGCGTGCTTACCATCTGACGGACTCCTGCGAGGGCTGGGGTGTCCGTGTGCTGAGCCTGTCCGCTGGCATCTGTGACAGGATGAAGACGCGAAGGTCCTGCACACCAGGCCGGAGCAGTGTGTGTTTCCTAGTCACTGGTGTGGCTGCTGACTTTGAACTGGAGTCGTCCTGAGCTGGGCCACGCGGGTGTCTGGGGAGCCGGATGGTCCATGGTGGGGCTGCAGTGAGGCTTCGTCAGGTGGTCGGGCGTGGGAAGGTCTCTGCCGCCAGCAGCCCTGCAAGCACTTTGGATGTGTGCACCCGGCGTGCAGGGCCCAAGTCAACAGACTGGCCAACCTTGACGTCGAGGCCCCATTCTGCTTGTTTGATCACAGTGGGGTTTTCATTGCTCTTTCCCTTCCTGTTTTGCCATACTTTTAAGTGTGTCTTGTCTCCTTTTTTTGTAGATTACGTTTTTTGGTTAAGAAATGGCAAGAAGTAGATCGGAAAGGAGCTCTGGCACAAGGCAAAGTCCTTCGCCCAGGTGGGACTCCCGCTGCCGTTGGCCGCTGGACTCACAGACTTTTCTTCCTACTGTTTGTAGCTTTTTCATTCACTTTTGGGTCATTTTTCAGTGTTGATGGGGATGTAATAAAGCACAGTAAGAAAATCCGTGAATTCCGTCAGGGCAGTCGTTCAGAGGGAGGGTGCGCCCAGCACAGGGAGGTCAGAGCTCACGTTAGCTATGAGCACAGTTCACAGGGGCATATGGTGATGGGAAATGCTGAGATGCTCAATATATTGATTCTTTAATAGTGTTTAGCAAAATGGTCTTTTTTATTCCCCAAATCAACTGAAACTCACTTCACGTCTCTTTCCTTGTAGAGCATCATGCTTATTTCTGGCTCACTCACATCTTTGTCTCAGGAGTTCTCTGCCGTGCCATTGCCCCCCATAGCAGAGAGCACAGCTGGCTGCACTTAGCACTGAAGGAGCCGGCCCCAAAGCAGGGCATTTCCAGGGGCTCTTGTCCCAGAGTGGCAGGGGATGGGCCTGTGGCTCCGGGCCTGTGGGGCTTAGGCTGCCTGAGCCACTGCTGACCAGCACCGTAACTGGGCATTCCTGGAAGTGCCTTACCAAGTTGTTGTTTGTAGAGACAGGGGCTTGCTGTATCATCCAGGCTCGAGTGCAGTGGCACAGTCACAGCTCACTGCAGCCTTGACCTCCTGGGCTCAAGCCATCCTCCTGCGTCAGCCTCCCCAGTACCTGGGACTATAGGCGTGAGCACTGTGCCTGGCAGCTATGTCAGCGTCGACTCCACATTTTAATAGTTGCTTCTTGAAATTAAAATACTTTGATTCAGCCATCAGGAAAGTTTGCCCTTCTGAGTCATACCTGGTGGTCTCCAGGGTTCCTGCCCCTCCCTCCTGAGCCAGCTCCTCAGAGCTGATAGAGGCGAGACCCTCACCCAGGTCTTGAGACCCCCCCGGAGATGGGCTGCTCCTGCGGATGCGGATAATCAAAGCTCAGGTTTCTTCCAGAGCTTTTAAAAAGATACTGTAACTTGAGTACTTTAAAAATGTCTTAAAATTGCCATACAGACTCTTAAAAGCTTATACATTTAAAATTTTGATAGATGGGCCTTTACTAAAACGCATTCATTTCTTTTCCTAATCCCTTTGTTGTTAAATAATTCTGGGGAAGGGCCCCGAGTACGACGACCGCAGTCTCCACCCAGAACCAGAGAGTCCCCCCCAACCCGGGATGTGCCCTCAGGCCACACCAGGGACCCCACCAGAGGCCACGGACTGGCAGCAGCAGCCTCCCCACACACTGGGGGAAGGTCAGTGTGACGCCTTCAGGCCCTGTCTCCTGCCAGGGCTCTCCTTCCAGCCGACATAGGGCCTCAGAGAAATGCATTTTTAGTTCTGGCTTCGGCCCAGCCCAGAGCAAGGCAGGAAACTCTCCAGCATGAGTCCATGAGGGCCTAGAAGTCCAGCCCCATTTTGGGGGAGGGCCTGCTTCTCTGGTGGCTGTGGTGCCCCAGAGCCCGGTCCTGCGATCTTTACTGAAAGAGTAAATGGTGGCCGAGGGCCCCTTTTGTGAGGGATGTGCCCAGGTGAAGAAGGCATGTTGCCTGCCCTGAAGATACTTGGAAGCTCTGGGCGGAGGGAAAAGGGATACCCCTGGTGCTCCCTGGGCCTGGTGGAAGGCTAGGAGGAAGGACAGCTGAGGTGAGGACTGAGCTGGGCAGGTATCACCCTGACAGTTTGGGAAGATCAGGAAAGGCAGGTGAGACCTGGTGCAGAATCCAGGTTGGGTAATAGATACGTTATCAAAGATTTAGCAAACAAAGTAATATACAGTAATCTTTACTCAACTGTGGAACATTGCACAGAAGCCGTTAAAGCACTCTGACACTTTTTATAAGGAAGAATCTGAAGGAGACGGCCCTGAAGTCACCCATTCCCATGGGTCTGGTTGGTGGGGCTGGTGCCTTTTGTACTCACTCACCCTGGCTCCGTCTGTCAAACTCAACTTTTTTTTTTTCTTCTCTTGGTGTGCTAATTGGTTTGAAGAGCCACTCCATCCCCAAATTCAAGATTAGAAAGATCCCTGACTGCTTCTCAAGATCCAGAACATTCCTTGACAGAGTATATTCACCATTTAGAAGTGATCCAGCAAAGACTGGGAGGGGCTCTACCAGGTAATGCAAGTCCTCGCCGAGTATTTATTAAGCTGGTTATCACTGTACCCTGGAAAGGTAGGGTCTGTCAAAAGATGGCTGGTATTCAGCTTAGTAACTAAAGTTTCAGTCTGAACAATCAGTGTCACTAATAGTATTAGCATAGAGGTTATAAGTGAAGATTCTCACAGAAGTCTAAGCCGATGTACTCTGATAAGTGCTGGGCTCAGTTTGACTTAATCACCGTCTGGACTTCTTTGTCCTTTCTCTTACATTGATAGCGAACGTAAAGGTTACATTTCGACCAGGATATAATTTGTTCAGTGTTTCTTAAATATCATAATTTAAACCACTGTATTTTATAATTCATATTTTTACCAAAATTTACATGAATTCAGTGATAGTGTTTCAAAATTGTTAAATTCTTTTTCAAAAAATCTGTGAAGCCTTGTAACCAATTTGCTGCCTCATTTTTATTTATATGCAGATTCTCCTTCAAAGAAATCCTGCCACCAGAAGATTAAACAGTGAATAAAATGCCATGGCTCTTACCTGCGACAATTCTATTTGAGGAAAAGATTTGTTTTTCCCTTTTCCCAAGGAAGCTCGTGGGACAGCATGGGCACTACTCTTCACGTGCGGTGACACCAGCCCCCAGATGCCTTCAATTTAGTGTCCTCACCTTTATGCATGACTGCAAAGCCAGATGGAGCATTTTCTATGGAGCCTCTGTATGTTTTAGGCCCGTGACTTTCGTGAGGTGACAGGTACTCACTCCCATGAGCCCTGGCTGTGTGCTGTTGTGTGCCTATCGGCAGATCCATCCTTCCTGCCTCCAAGAAGGATACACAGAGAATGGCTTCCTGTTGTTTTGTTTATTTTCTTAACGTGCACAGATGGAAACTTCATTTAAAAATAAAAACAAAACAACTCAAAAAGGAATAAAATGTAATCACTGTTCTGTTTGTGAATAGCCCTTGTGTTTTTTCCATTTTATCCATTTTATCAGTTTGCCCTTCTGACTGACTAAAAAATTGAACAGAGAGTTTATGTCAAACTCATGGAAGTCAAAAAGTTTCAGTGGAACTCAAAGCATTCTTGAATAGCCACTTGACTGTTGTTTACTCTTAATTGGTTTCTTATTTTTTTAAAGATGCTGCCACTATGTATCCACCTCTCATGGCCATGCCATGTTTTTTTTTGAGACTGGAGTCTGGCTCTGTCACCCAGGCTGGAGTGCAGTGGTGCAATCTTGGCTCACTGCTACCTCCACCTCCCAGGCTCAAGCAACTCTCTTGCCTCAGCCTCCTGAGTAGCTGGGATTACAGGCACCCACCACCACGCCCTGCTAATTTTTGTATTTTTAGTAGAGACAGTTTCACCATGTTGGCCAGGCTGGTTTTGAATTCCTGACCTCAAATGATCCATCCTCCTCGGCCTCCCAAATTAAGTGCTGGGATTACAGGCGTGAGCCACCACGCCTGGCTGGCTGTGCTTTTTTATGTTTCATTCATACTCGCTTAGACTAGACAGTAATATCTAGCCAAGGACCCTTTACCCAAAAATGTACTAGGTGGGTATAATTTTTTTATTTTTAGAGACAAGGTCTCACTCTGTCACCCAGGCTGGAGTGCAGTGGCGCAATCACAACTCACTGCAGCCTTGACCTACCGAAGAGCCCAAACGATCCTCCTGCTTAACCTCCCAAGTAGTTGGGACTATAGGTGCGCACCACCACGCCTGGCACTAATTTTTGTATTTCTTTTAGAGACAAGGTTTCACTTTGTTTCCCGGCCTGGTCTCACGCTCCTGGCTCAAGCAATCCTACTGCCTCTGCCTCCCGAGTAGCTAGGACTACAGGCACACACTGCCACATTCAGCTAATTTTTTTCTTTTTTTTAGTAGAGATGGGGTCTCACTCTGTTGCCCACACTGGTCTTGAACCCCTAGCTTCAAGTGATCCTCCTGCCTTGGCCCCCCAAGGTGCTGGGAATACAGGCTCAAGACACTGTGCCCTGCCCTAACTTCCAGTTTATTGAAGGAGAAATAAATGAAACTATGAGGAAAAAGATGAACATGGGCTATTCTACAGTTACCTGCCCTCATTTCATCAGACAATGGGATGTGAATGTGAGGAACCTGTTCTAGGTTAAAGAAGCCAAGAAGCTGTCAGCCGGGCGCGGTGGCTCACACCTGTAATCCCAGCACTTTGGGAGGTCGAGGCGGCCAGATCACAAGGTCAGGAGTTTGAGACCAGTGTAACCAACATGGCGAAACCCCATCTCTACTAAAAAAACAAAAAGCTGGGTGTGGTGGCGGGCTCCCATAATCCCAGCTACTCGGGAGGCTGAGGCAGGAGAATCACTTGAACCCGGGAGGCGGAGGTTGCACTGAGCCAAAAGTCCTCAGTACCAAAAGGTGCCAGTGAAGACACTAGATTGCAGATAGAGATGTTCCTGTTTTGTGTATAAGCCACCCAGTTTCACTCAAAAATTGGGATCAGTAGCACCAGCTAGTACAGTAACCCCATCCCTGGGTGTTGGCTTAGGCAGCAGTCTCAACTGCTAGTTCAAAGTTCAAAATATCACCCTTGTATCTGGTAGAAGCAGTCCTCCCTTGGGACAGCAGAGTTCAGAGTTACAAGATGAGAAGCAAAAATTCCTTCTGGGGTTACCTGGCATAACAGGAAGAGGGGCCATTCGTATCTGCAGCCCTTAGGTTTCCAAGCCAGCATATGCTGGCTGTGGGAGAAGTAGCACTAGGTATTATTCAATCAAAGCCCATACCACATCCTGCGTTACAGCACTCCAGATTGACGGTATTGTCTCCAATCTGGCATCATAGTTGAGCCTTCGGGAGGCCTTTCCACCATCCACTAAGCGAGCTACTTCTGACTGATAGGAGTTTGGGGTAAGATGAGGGCATCGCACAGCCACGTGCTCAGAGCCACACTTACTGTCAGAAGAGTTTTCTGGTTAGAAGCGATGATGAATTAGGAATTTGGGAAGTCTGCAAATGAGTGTTGGGCAGAAAAGCAATTCATATGCAGAATAGGAATGAATAGATGCAGGGGGACAGCAGAGCTGGGGAACTGCATCGGAGCCTGAGGTACCTGTTCATGCTGCCTGCTGCCACCTCCCTGACCTGCTGGAGGCTTGTCTCCTTTTCCGACACCATTCTCTAACACCAGCTGCCTGTCCTACAGTTCCATTCTGACACTACCTAGAATCAGAATGGACAGAGTTTCCACAAGTTAAGGACAAAGTCCTTCAATTTTTATTTTATTGTATTTGTAGAGATGGGGGTCTCCCTGTTGCCCAGGTTGGTCTCGAATTCCTGGGCTCAAGTGATCCTATCCTGGCCTCCCAAAGTGCTTGGATTACAGGCGTGAGCCACAGTGCCCGGCCTAAAGTCGTTCAATTCTGATACTACCTGGAGTCAGCACAGACCCTAAAGGCTAAGGACTCAGTCTCCACTTCAGACATCAGCCACAAGTGGTGTTCCCAGGCTACTGCAATTCTGCCCAGCCAATTTATAAGTTTGTGGGGTTTTCACCCCCACCCCCGTAGGTTTAATAATTTGCTAGAATGACACAAAGTACTATTCTTGGGATTACCAGTTTATTATACAGGGTACAACAAAGGAACAGCCAAATGGAAGAGGTGAGCAGGACAGGTATGGGGCCCAGAACTTCTGTGTCCACTGCAGGCGTGCTGCCCTCCCAGCATTATCGGGGGAACCCACCCCCAATATTTCAACATAGGTTCTTTCTATTTTTCCCTAAGGGTCGGCTGGTCTGAGAAATAGAACAGAGAGAGGAATTTTACAGCTGGGCTGCTGCGGGTGACATCACTTAGTGGTAGGACCGTGATGTCCACCTGAGCCGCAAAACCAGCAGGTTTTTCTTAAGGACTTCAAAAGGGGAGGGGGTGTATGAACAGGGAGTAGGTCACAAAGATCACATGCTTCAAAGGGCAAAAAGGAGAACAAAGATCACATGCTTCTGGGGCCAATAAAGATCACAAGGCCAAGGGCAAAACCAAAAACTGGTAAGAGTCTATGTTCAGCTGTGCATGTATTGTCTTGATAAACATCTTAAACAACAGAAAATGGGGTTTGAGAGCAGAGAACCAGTCTGACCTCAAATTTACCAGGCAGCGTTTTTTTTCCCCACCCTAAGCCTGAGGGTACTGCAGGAAACCAGGGCGTATTTTCAGTCCTTATCTCAACCGCATAAGACACACACTCCCAGAGCGGCCATTGATAGACCTTCCCCCAGGAATGCAATAATTTTCCTAGGGTCTTAATATTCCTTGCTAGGAAAATAATTTAGGGATCTCTCTCCTACTTGCATGTCCGTTTATAGGCTCTCTGCAAGCAGAAAAATAGGGCTCTTTTTGCCCGACCCCACAGGCAGTCAGACCTTATGGTTGTCTTCCCTTGTTCCCTAAAATCGCTGTTATTCTGTTCGTTTTCAAGGTGCACTGATTTCATACTGTTCAAACACACGTTTTACAATCAATTTCTATAGTTAATGCAGTCATCACAGTGAACCTGAGGTGACGTACATCCTCAGCTTACCACAATAACAGGATTAAGAGATTAAAGACAGACAGGTGTAAGAAATTATGAGTATTACTAGGGAAGTGATAAATGTCCATGAAATCTTCACAATTGATGTCCCTCTGCCGCGGCTCCAGCCAGTCCCTCAGTTCGGGGTCCCTAACTTCCTGCAACACAGCACAACCCAGAACCTCCCTAAGCCTCATTGTCCAAGAGTTTTTATCAAGGCCTCATTACATAGTCATGATGGACTGGATTACTGATCACATGATTGAACTTAAACTCCAACCCTCTCCCCTCTCCAGAGGTTTGAGGGTGGGGCTGAAAATCCTAATCCTCCAATCATGTGGTTGGGTCCTCTGGTGTCCAGCCCTTATCCTGGAGGGGCCCCACCACAATCACCTCAAAACCCTGAATAGAAAACTTTTACTGAATGCACCTGGGATGGTGCCTGATATGGTTTGGATCTGTCTCTGCCCAATCTCATGTTGAAATCTAATCCCTAATGTTGTAGGTGGGACCTGGTGAGAGGTGACTGGATCACAGGGACAGTTTCTCATGAATGGTTTAACACCTGGGTGCTGTTCTCAGACAGTGAATGAGTTCTCACGAGATCCAGTTGTTCAAGTGTGTGGCACCTCCACCCTCTCTCTTCTCCTAATCCAGCCATGTGAAGTGCCTTGTTCCCCCTTTGTCTTCTGCCATTATTGGAAGCTTCCTGAGGCCTCCCCAAAGAAGAAGCCACTATGCTTACTGTACAGCAGAACCGTGAGCCAAATATACCTCTTTTCTTTATAAATCATCCAGTCTCAGGCAATTTTTTTTTTTTTTTTTTGAGACAGAGTCTTGCTCTGTCACCCAGGCTGAAGTACAATGGCACAATCTCGGCTCACTGTAACCTCTGCCTCCCGGGTTTAATCAATTATCCTGTCTCAGCCTCCCGAATAGCTGGGACTACAGGTGCATGCCACCACACCCAGCTAATTTTTGTATTTTTAGTAGAGATGAGGTTTCACCATATTGGTCAGGCTGGTCTTGAACTCCTGACCTCCAGTGATCCACCAGCTTTGGCCTCCCAAAGTGCTGGGATTACCGGCCTGAGCCACCACACCTGGCCTCAGGCATTTCTTTATGTGAGAACAAATACAGTGCCTCACAGAGAGATGCTGATTCTCAAAACCCAACAATACTACCTTAATTGCCTGCAGACCCCTAAGACTCTGATCCCAATACAGCCCACAGAAGTATGAGGCATACTATAGGAGGAGATAGCCTATACAACAAATCATTAAACTGGACATAAACAGCAGCATTCCACTGAAACTGGAAACAGTATACACAAAACTATGCCCGAACAGATTCAGAAGGCGTAAGTGTGTGACCCAAGTGAGTGGCCAAATGCATGGTGCC